CATCAATAAAATAATTAGGCATATTACATGTATATGTATGTATATCATATGTATATGTATGTATGCATGTATGTATATATGCTGCAATAGATCAAATAATTAGGCATATTACATGAGGAGCATTTATCTACATACCACCCAACTCTTATGTATTCACCTATATAACACAAAACTTGGTTTTTTTTTTTTTTCTTTTTTTTTCTTTTTTTTTCATTATTATTATTTTTTGCATTTATACCTCCCAAATCTTTCGTATCACATCAAACATATCATTACAGACTTTTGTGCATGTGCGAGGCGGCATGTATAAAAAGATGGAAGTTTAGATTTCAGATACATAAATACATAAAATTTAAGTGGTTTGTATGTAAATGCTCAATAAATAAATAAATAAATAAATCAAGAAACAATTAACATATTAAATATCTACTTCTGTGATTCACAGTTAAAACAGTTCTGTGACAGAACAAGTTGTCTTTATATTAAAAAATATAAAAAATATACAAAAAGAAACATAAAAAAGGGAGAAATTACAGGAAAAATCAAATCTAAATACTACAGAAGTTTCAAAAGTTTCAAAAGAGGCATTTGCATACATACCACCCAATTCCTATATATTAACATCTCTAACATCCAAACTTTACTTTTTTTACATTTATACCAACCAAATCTTTCATATCACATCAAAAATACCTCCATTTTAATTTTAAAAAAGTGAAATACACATTGTCGTGCATAGGGAAGGTAGTATAGTGGTATTTATGTAAAAATTGCAATTTAGGCGTAAGATATGTAAATATGTAAGAACCGAGTGGTGTGCATGTAAATCTTCCTGAAGCACAGTAAATGCTCACCAAGTAAAGCTATTGTCGAACATTCAGCACATTCTCTATCCTGCTGATAAGCTGTTCAGCTCAGCAGGCAAAGCTCCTTCCTGAATAATGGCCAGACTTAGAAATCAAGAAAAAAGTGCTCTAAGGAGAGAATACTACATCCGGGTCCGGTGGAAATTTGCCACGTGGCAAGTTGGCCTCACTATAATATACTGATTTTTTTAGAAGGGTGGAGTCCACTTGCCACATGACGCACTCTCACTGGACTCCAGGCTCAATTTAAGTTCCGGATGTAATATTTTTTTTCCAAAGGAAGAAGGATAAGATGAGGTTTTATCAAGATTTAGAAAAAAAAATGTCAATAATCCCAACTCATTGCAGGGAGCCTTCTTAATCCCATAATATATAAAAGCGTTGATTTAGTCCCCCAGACTATTTTAATATGAGTCGAAAGTCTTCAGTGGGGGACTATTTCAACTTCAATTAAGAGTCTGGGAGCTAATTTGACACGTTGATAAACACTTGGGACTAGAATGATCTTTTGTAAATAACTATTTTGGCATTTTACTTGAAGAATTCAGCTTACGAAGCGATCGCAGGGCTGCCCATCTCTGAAAAGAATGAATGTAGGAAGAGCTTCGATTTTGTACCGATTTGCGATCGTCGTGTACTTCTCCGTGTCGATTTTCACGACTTTGATTTTATCTTTCAGTTTCTCGCTAACTTGATCGAGAATTGGAACCATGAACTGACAAGGGCCACACCTGCCAGACGAGGGGGGTGGGGGTGGTGTTTAACAGAAGTATAGGAACTGGAGAAAAGGGAGGAACAGCAAAGGAAACGTTTGGTTTTTTTTTTTTTTTTTAATTATTTAAGGGAAATTTGCACCTAGCACATAATTCTTATGTATTTGCATATCTCACATATAAAATTTCATATGTAAATACATAGTACTTTAGTGTTTTAAGACTGCATGAAAAAGATGTATTTTACTTTTAAAAAGTTATAATAATACTATTTTTTATGTGATATTACCGATTTGAGTGCAATGTGTGTTAAATTTGATATATGTAAATGGCATAATAGAGCTTTTGCTTGTCTAAAGCTTATTAAAGCGAATAAAACAATGAAAAAAAAAACGATATAATTGTAAATGGCACTAGTCTTAAACTTGAACAATAATCATCTTTTAGAAAAAAGATAAAACATTTAAAAAGCTCAAACGGAAAGAAACTCATGAGAGGACTGTATACGTAAAGCGACTTATCATCATAAATGTTATCAGACCAAAGTAAATGGTGCAAAACATAATTACCAGGTTGCATAGAAGTCAACCAGTACAGGTTTATCAGAATTTTCCAACAAGTCATCAAATGAAGAAAATGTTTGTTTCTTTGCTTGCACCTGTGATAAAAATGATAAAACAAACATATAATATGAATTACAATTTTATATTAGGATAATAGAGTTATATGCTTTAAACTAGCATGTAGAAACCTGAAATTGCAAATCTACCTCAAGGATATTGAATTGGTGAAAAACTTTAATTTGTTTGAAAAATTTCATGAAGCTAATCAAGTCAATAAAAAAAAGTCCACTCTATCCATGCGTAAGACAACGTAGGTAGGCTATCGGGAGTTGGATTCAGGTTCACAACTCAAGCAATCTGCCTTTCTCTTATTAGATGATGCATATCCCTTATGATGCAACTTCCCCACTCACATACTATTGTTGCAAACAACTATTCCCAAAAAACAATCTAAAAGGCCAATCCATGTTGATAAAGGCAAATCGATAGACACATAGAATGGATTCCGCGACAACAACTTTTAAGGCGATATAGATTTTCCAATCAACAAAATTTCTAAAGCACGTACGTGTCTTTTAATTTTCATCATGTATTTTTAGAAAATTTGTCCGCTATCAAGTTTTAAATTTAGAGATCAAATCCATTTCTTGTTG